AAGGCCACTACTGCTGCTGGAGGCTGCTGCTGCTAGTGCCCCCGGGACCCTCTGCAAGGCTGCTGCTGCTGAGGAAGCTGAGGACTGAGCTCATGTCATCTGCCAACAGCTCCTGGAATCTTTCCTAATTACCTAGCATGGACCTGCGTGTGAGGGGTCTGGTGACCCAGTCTGTACAGTGGGTTTGGAGGCTCTGAGCCCTCTTACAATGTAAATAGAAACTTAGTATAACTAAAATAAAACAACAGAACAGGCCTTTACCTGCCCTGCAAAGGAGACTAGATTTTATTCTGCATGTCAGCGTTTTCAGAAGCGTTCTGCAAAATGCTAAATGTCACAATATTCTCCAAGAATAAAGGAAGAAAAATTTGGTGGCCAAGTAAGTTAAGGAAACACTGCGTACTATATACTCTTGAGAGATTCATAAGGCACATAAGCCAACTTAAGGCTCTAGGAACCTCTACAGTAAAAAAACCTAAGAAACTTTCTCTCGCCTACAGCTTCGCAGACTTGTTTGACCCTGGGCTGCTTTGTGCCTAACAGCTATTAACACCTACTTTCCCACTTTGGGGAAGGCTGCTTTGGGCAATGGGGAGATGGTGAAAAGCAAGAGAATCACACGTGTGGCTGTGTTATTTTAGGAAGACAGCTCTGGAAGCCAAGTGAAGGACAGACTGGGAGGGAGGTAAGACTGGAGACTAGAAGTGAGGCGGCTAGTACAGATATTCAGTTCAGAAATAATGAGAACGTAAAAGGAGGAAAGATGGACAGGAGGGGCCCAATTTGAGAGAGATTTAAGCAGGAGAATTGCCAGTACCCGCTGACAGACGAGCCATGGGGGATGAGGGGAAGGAAGGTTTGAGCAATTAGACGGGGTACGGTTAACCAAGATAAGGGCAGGAGGAGAGAAACTGAAGTTAGGAAACATGTTGAGTTTAGCTTTAGACAGGCTGAATTTGAGAAACATCCGGGGAGGGGAGGTCTGACCTAGACACATCACATGTCATCCCTGTGTGGGGGCCGCAGACGAGGGGTGCTGGGGGAATGGGCCGAAGGAGAAAACGTGGGGAAGACGGACAGGAAGGAACTATCTGAAGCAGCTGAGGAGTCATCAGACAGAAGTTTTAGCAGTATACATATGAGACTATTTTCTAATCCCCTTGTCTTAGCATAGGATAAAAATAGTACCAGTTATCACTGAGTATTCATTAGGTGGCAAAGTGCTAAGTGCTTTATATGTATTATTTGGGACACCTTCAGTATGGGGCAATTAAATAGAATGCTAAAAGTATCAGGCAAAGTCGGTAGAATCTCCACTCCTTAAACTCTAAATTCCGTGTGTGCTTTACTTGCACCCTGAATTTGGCAACTCTAGTAGCATGGCCTTGATTATTCCTTCACTTTCTAGGTATTTGTTCTTTATCTCCCCAATTCACTTAAGCCCTTGGTGAGCGAGGGCTGTGTTTCATACCAGGTGTGACTATAAAGCTGTCAACCCTGAGAACGCCCAACAAGAACGGCATCTCCAGGTGCCAACCGTGGCCTCTGCACGAGGGCACACACCGCTCCCGCGCTGCTGCTGCTGATCAGCACTGTGGCGCCTCCTCCTGGAGCCGCCTGTCAGTTCACGGGCCACGCACACAGGCCACGCTGCCTGACCACCCGCTTACTCTCCACGCTTGCTCCACAGACATTTGAATTTTCCAAAAAGAAAAAGGAAATCTGCCCTCGTCAAGTGATTTGTTGTCAATTGGGAGACTTAGGAGAACTCGGCAAAGTCCTTGGAGTTCAAGCAGCTTCTCACACAGGCAACGCTCATGCAGAATGTGGAAATGCTGGGTTACTTGCTCAAAAACCTCATGACATCATGGGCCACACCTCTTATAAAACACGCCGCTTTGTGCTAAACCACATTTATCACCTTTTTTGGAAGAACATTCTATTCTCATTATAACGTGGCCGTTGGGTGGTAAATGCTGGTACTAACAAACTTTAAAATTTTAATAAGATTCATGAGAGAAAGAAAAGCTCTCGAGAGCGGGGGAGACGGGCTTAGTGCTGGGTGGGTATCTCGGGCAGTGTGCTCATTACACTCTGGAAGCAAACACAATGAAGGCTGTCAGCTCTCATGAACATCCCCTGCTGCTGTCCATAGAGCCATATGGAAAGTGCATGGTCAAAAGAAATTAGGGGTTGCATGGGTGAACTTTCCATGAAACAAATCCCCCATGGCAATAACTTTCTTCTTTCAATAGCAGTACTCAGTATGTGCCACTGCAGATAAGCAACTTCCTGAGGGCTACTTGTTAGTTTCATGGAAAAAGAGCATCATCAGGTTGTGTCAAACTAACTTGAATTTTCCTCATAGTTCTAGGGAAAGCAAGCTGCTGAACCCTGGGCTATTGATGTGCTGCTTGACTTGGAGAAAAAAATCCATTTCCTCAGAAGACATGTTTAATGAGGCAACTGGGGTCTAAGGTGATAAATTAGAAATTCAACTAAGGGCATCAGGCTTAGAGGAAAAAGTAGAAGCTTGATGAAAAATGCAAGCAGAGAGAATGAGATGTTTTTTTGTAAAATGTTCATTTTCATACAGACAAATTATGTTGACCATTTCAGCTATGGTGGCTAGTTTTTGATGTCATTCATCTGGGACTTTACTTCATTTGTTCGGGATACAGAAAATAAGAGAAAAACAAGACTCCAGAACACTTACTTTGCCGTCTTCTGTGTAGACATTCTCATTATACCCCTTTACTATTGTTCGATCAATGAACAGGCTCCGCATGACAACAATCACTTTCAGCACCTTTCCCAAGGTCACCTGTCAAAACATGTGCATGCAAACATGAAAGCTTACACTTGAACATGCAAATCACACAGATTTGGGCAAGACTATAAGAAGAAATGATCATCTGTCCATCCTGTTTCTAAGAGATGCACCAGAGGACATTCTGTGGGAAGGCAAGGTGCTTACCCCTGTGCTATTTATCCTAAAGCACTGAGAACAAGCTCTCAATCACAGTGAGTTCCTCCTGTAATTACTTAAAGATGTTGCAGGCCTCAACCCATCTAACTACTCTGAATTTATATTTTTGGCTTATAAATTATCAACATAAGTTTCATATGTTTACCTATCTACTGGATAAAGTAAAAATTTCTTTTCCCCATCCCCCCACTCCATTTTAAGATTTTCTTCTTTGAAGGCTGGGATCCTAAAATTATGGCATTCTAGGATTTAGTGAGCACATTTGTTTTCATGCTATGTCATAGCCCTATATATATATCCATGGAACATGTAGAGAGTACAGTATAGAGAGTAAAGGCAGGCACCAAATACCCCTCGGCTGAACTACCTATTTATAACAGCTGGTAAACAGTAAAAAAGCAATACCAAATAAAGTCCGAAGGTAAAAAAAAAGTAGCTGAATTTTATTTCCAAAAAAGAAACATGATCCTGGAAATACATTTAAGTGCTTTCACTCTCTTAGAACCTAAGCACGTATTATCGGTTTAAAAAAAAAAAAAAAAACTAAACTAAAAAAAGTACAGTTTCGTATATGCCAGGGAAAGAGGAACCTGCTATACTTGCTGGAATAGGCTCAGCACCAAGAACTGAAACAGCACCTTCCTTTCTTTTAGGGACTCGCACAACTCTTCCCATATTTTGCTAAGCCTCTTCTTTTCATTTCATAGATGAGAACCTGGAGGCAGACCCAGCCCAGGACCCACCCAAGGCCCACGGTCAAAGGTTGTTCTGATGGGGCTGTGACATCACAGAATTAGCTGACAGAAAGCCCTGCTGGTCTGCATAAGTGCCTCAGCCCCAAACAGCAGTCCTGATCCTTTGACCCCAACCTGTTATGAGTTTCTGGAGATGTCACCTTCGACCATCCTTTTCCTTTCCCCCTTCCTGGCTGTTTTTCAACTGACTGTCTTCAGTAATAACCAGCTCTTTCCTTGATTAGTCCTGGGTATCAGTGAACACCCCAACATCTGCTTCCTTCAGTAACTTTAAGTGTTGGGTTGATGTCTCTATTTTTGTATGCCTAAATCTGTACAAACTATAAACAGGGAAAGAAAAAGATATAGATTTGTTTATATTTAGGGAATGCTAATAAAAGCATCTTATTTCTGTACAGTACTTTAAAATGTCATCACATCATATAACATTCAATAGGTCTTTTTTTTGGTAACTAAAAATTACTACTTGTTTAGATCTCCACACCAGCCAGCCTCCAGAAAAAAAAAAAAAAAGAAAAAAACCCTACTATTTAAGGGTGCCAGTAAACCACAAAGGTAGGATCAGCAACTCTGTCTTTAGTTAACATTGGAAGGGAGGGAGAGAGGGAGAGCAACTGCATTACAGTTTTGTAATAATAAGCACTGAAATCAACCGCCTCTCACTAGGCTAACGCGGAGGCAGGTCCAACATATCTCCTCCAGAAGGGCTAGTTATCTAATAAGCATAAATAACCAAGCAGTTGTTTCCTAAAAACACCAAAGCCTAGCTGACTTTAACTGATAAATTGCCTTAGTAATTTAAGTTTCTTAAGATGGATTTCAGAAACGCACTAAAGATGCCAGGATTTTTTATATTTAATTTTGTTTTAAAAGTTAATTTTGGTATTTTAAAGTTAACTAATATTCAAAAAGCTAAAAAATAAATGTTTATTATGGAAAAATTTAAAATGAGAGAAAAGAAGATGACGATAATTATTCATAGTCTTCCCATTCAAAGATCATCACCATTAACACTGTCAGGTACCTATTGCTTCTTAGCCTGTTGGCTAAGATCAAGTGTAATGTTTTCAGGTACTTCTTTTCAATCTTATTACCAAAGATTTACGGTTTTTGAGTTTTTGAAAGGGTTATAATTAAAACTATATACAAGGGTACTTTAAAAAGTTCATGGAAAAATAGAATTAAAAGATAATACAAATCTTTCCACAAACTTTTTGAAGTATCCTCATATATAATTTCAAATCAAATTTTCACTTAAAATGATGACATGGGCATTGTTGCACATTGCTATGCAGTCTTCAAAAGTCGCGTGACATGAGCACGGCAGTCCGCTGAATAAACACATTCTTCTTTAACCACTCTCCTACTGGCAAGCATTTAAGTTGCATCCAGGTTTCCCCTCATATATATTTTTTTCTAAGATAAATATTGTAGAAACCCCTGATATAAATGTGGTGCATGTGAACTTTGTTCACAAAGCCTTCCCTGTGTTTGGGATTATTTCCTTACGAAAGATCTGTGGAACTGCGATTGTGGGGGCAAACGGTACAAATATTTTAAGGCTTTTCATACAATCTGCCAAACTACTAATCACAAGGGTTATGTCAACTGGACAGATAAAAACACAACTATTTCATTCCATTCTTGTCAGTAATGGGAGCTGTTAAATCAAAACAAAACACAGTCACGTGTCGCTTACCTACGGGGATACATCCTGAGAAGTCACAGTGAGGCGATTTCATCCTTGTGCACACACTACAGCGTGTACTTACACGAACCCACGTGGAATAGCCTACCGCACACCTCGGCTGTATGATATGGCCACTGTGGTATATGCCCCACCAGAAGTACTGACTTAATTGATGTTTTAAAACCTTTTATTATGGAAGATTTTAAAAATATACATAAAAGTGAATAAAATAGCATAAAGAGCCCCCTGGATCCAGCCACTACTCTTGGCACTCTGTGTCACCTCCACCTTCTTTTCCTTTCCTGTGGTATTTTGAAAGAACCGCCACAGTATCATTTCATCTGTAAATATTTCAGTACTTCTAAAAGGGCTCTGAAAACAAAAAAGCATAACCACACGCAATCCTGCATCTAAAACAATTCTCCAATATCATCAAACATTCAATTCAGTCAGTGTTCAAATTTCCAAGCCTCATGAATACCATTTTTTAGAAAGTTTGCTCATATCAGGACCCAAATATGGCCCACACGCTGCGACTGGCTGACATGTCCACAAGCCTCTAAGCTAAAGGTGTCTCCCTCTCTCGCCCTCCCCCACTTTACTTGTTGAAGAAACTGGGTTATTTTCTACAGTTTTCCACAGTCTGGATTTTGCTGATGGTGTCCCTGCTGTGTACTTTAACATGTTCCTCATTACTCTGTACTTCCTGCAAATTGGTAATTAGATGAGACTTAGGTTTGATTTTTTTTTGGCAAGACTATTTCTGGGGCTGTAGTAGTTTATGGACAGTCAGTATTGTGAAGTGCTGCTCTGGTTTACTTTTAGTATCTTTCAAATCTGTAAAGCTCTATGAAGTTTGCCAATTCTCATTTTTTACAAAGTCAAAAGGACCCTGGTGGTTGATTTAAGCTGGACAGGCATAGAATTATGGCTTTTCGAATTTTTAATACAGTCATAATGACACTATCTATATACACAATTTTGAAGCCTAACATTTTGAGGCTTTGGAATCAGGTCTCAGCCCCACTACCAGAAGGCTTGGCCCAGTTACCTACCTTCTCTGAGCATCAGTTTCTTCCCGTCTGAATGGAGATAATGATACCTCCATCTTGGAATGACTGTGAGAAGCCAACGGGACAATGCACCGATGATAAGGGCTGGCATAGGGCCTGGCACAGAATAGCTTCTCAGGGGCAGCTATTGTTACTTGGCCCAAATTCTTGTTTGGACTTTGCAGAGGGGAAACGATTTCAAGCCAGTGAACATCAAAGCTGGGATAAGAACTGTCGCTGGCTCCAGCTCAGTGAACTTGCCACTTAGGTTAATCTTCCATCCTTCTATCATATCTGTGGCTGAAGGGAAGCTGCAGGGCATGGAAGGATGAACCAAACTGTGGGGTCTGATGCATGACTACTGAGCAGAGAGAGTCTGCAAGCCTGAGGGTCAGGCAGTGTGGGGGAAGATGTGGAGCTTCCAGCATGGCTGATCTAGCCAAACCTCACTAACCCCAGAGACAGCTATTTAGTGTGAAGTTCAAGTCCTGCACATGCCACTTGCAGGCAGCGTGACCCAGGGCCAGTCAGACAACTGCCTGTGTCTGTTTACTCAGCTGTGAAACGGGGAAGGCCTGCTGGGGAAAGGAGAGGAGACAACCCATGTAAAGCATGGCTAGAAGCATGGCTTTGCTTCCTCCAGGGCATGGCGTGGAGAAAGGTAGTGTGAGCCCTCTGAGTTCTGCCATCACCACAGAGCTTAATGCACGTTCTCTAACGTGCTTTCCAGCTGAACCTCACTCTGCAATGATTCAGATGCTCATGTATCTGGAATGTGCCAGTTTCTAATGTATCTGGATGCACCAGGGTATAGTGACCTTGGATTTTGGATAGGCCACTATGCCAGTGCCTCATATACAGGCTGATGGGCATCCTTCCACCAACTAGCTGATGCTGGCCCCAGTCAGAAGCAAAGCACCCACTGACAGGGGTGATAGGTCGGTTCTTGGCAATTGCTATGGGATAACACAGATAAAAGCTAATGCCATCTGGTAATGGAGCAGGCTTGCTGTTGCCAAGGTAACACTTTTCTATATACCCAGCAGCACATTTCCAAGGAGCTCACTCACTACTCTTCCTGCGTCTGGCCCAGTGAGTGTTCAAGTGGCACACTGTAAAGAGAGTGAAGGGAGCACTGTGTGCTTCAGAGCAGCAGCCAGGGTGCACCTGAGGAGGAAGTGGGCTTGGCCTCCCACGCTGGCCATCACCCTTCTGGGGAGGTGCACTCAGACATGCTGTCACTATCCCATCAGGGTAGCTGGATTCTGGGCAGCTGGGGCTGAAACTGGTGGTCTTCTCTTCGTGGTCTTGCAGCAGCTGCCCACCAAGCTATATTCC